GAATAAATGAAACGCTGTGTTCACAGGGTTGATAATTTAATTTTTCCGGTTCTATAACATAATTATTTTGACGTTGTTGTGAAGTCTGCCCATGTTGTGGTCATAGTCATACAAGCTGCAGTAGGCGCATCATCTACATGACAAAAAATATTACATGGAAATAATAAAATTAAAATTAACTGAATAATCTTCACCTAAACCGCAAAAATATAAGTTGATAAATAATAAGTTCCAAGTATACAATATAATCTTCCTTTTCTTTTTTCTGCACTTAAAGCTAATTTTTTGAGAAATTATATGCCATATCTTATATTTGAAAAAAAGTCCCTGAATTGAAAAGTCCCTGAATAAAAGTCCCTATTTGGTCGCCAGAATTGGCCATAATTGTTTAATTGTCCCTAAATGGGGACATGATGTAGGGATGAATCTGGGGACCAGAATTTAGGGCAAATGATAGACATTCAATCGAAGGGAAGTTTAGTGAAGCGATCCGCTTCTTTATTTTTATTCTAAAGCATAACTGTAAAATTAAGATAAAGAAGCATCTAAATAGCGTTTGTTAAACGCTGTTTTATGGTAGTTTTGGTTGAAAACATTGAAAAGAAAACAAATCTGGTGAAAATGCACAAAACGTGTAAATAATAATAATCTAGAAGCAAATACTACGTGAATCTTATTGGGTATTTATAAGTTTCTTATAAGATTCTTAACTGATGCTTATATAAGAATCAATGCCTAGGGAAATTTTTCGGAGGCAAATCTTTTGGAAAAAAAGGTTCCTGGTAGCTAAAAAAATTGCAAATTCAAAATCATGAATTTGATACTCTTATTTATTTATTTATTTATTCTCGGTGGCAAAGAGAAAGGGCATAGACAAAAGCCGGAGGCTTATAGACGTCTATCCCATGGCACACAAATACAAAACGATGCAGCATTTTCTGCGCTATCGAACCACACTGCCTTTCATATAAAATGATGGTTTCATTGAGATACAGCGAAGAAAACATGAAGCGAAAAGATGGGTCGCAAAACCATCTACTTCACAAATAAATCACCTCTAATAGTCAACTTTCTTAGGCGCTTAGTTCGACAGCTTTCTGTGCATGATGAAAAGATGCAGGCACAATGGGCAGTGGAAAAAACTTTGATGTTGATTTCGTATTATATCTTGACCATAATGAATACTGACATGTTATACAAAACAAACATATCAAAGAATAATTTCATCTCATCTCTTTTGCTACCTTTATGTTCCAATGGAAAGTTAGTTTTCATTCTTCATTTTCCTCTTTCAAACACACATTAGTAGATGGCGAAAAAGCGCAGAATAGTCTTTTCGTTTTATTTTTCTTCTGTTATTCACTGACTTTCTATTCACTAGAGCGAACGGCAAGCAAATGATTTTATTCACTTCTTCTTGAAGTGAATGATACAAATTCAAGTACATGGTACCTAGTGAATCACCAGTGAATAAGTGGCGCATTTTATATTCACTACAGCAAAAGCAAGTGCATGGATACACTAGATGGAAATAGTAATAGTAATTTTAGTTAGTCCATGATCTTAAAACTGACTTGGTGATGATGAAAGTTTAAAAGAAACTTTGTCTAGATCATACCGAACAAATATGGAAAGCGAATGTACTGCAAATGACAAGTACATGGACAAAAATTTGACGGAAATATGCACTTAATGAGCATAAATTATACACTCCAAGCAAATGCTCTGTTCACTTCGAATGAATAAACTGTGAATAGCAAAAGATATTTTTTCACAGTGACGGAGCTGCCGTGTTTGAAGCTGTAAACTTCTAACTAAATGTCTAGATTTCTAAATGTATAAACAGCTAAATGTCTAAAGTTCTAAATGTCTAAATTTCTAAATTTCTAAATGAGTACTGGACTATCGGTATTTTAGAGCGTAGACTGTTCTACACTATAAGGCGCTAGAATGTATTATACTGCCGTTACAATATGAAAGACTAAAAATATTCAGATTGTAAAGTACAGTGTAATTGTCCAAGCTGTGAGTGTTACACAAAGATTCATGATCGTTTAAATCGTACAGACAGAGCTGATACTTGAATTTAGCGTATTTTATACGTTTAGCATATGTTGTTAAAGTATTGACGATCTTTCTCCATTTTTTTATAAAAAATTCATATTTAGAGTCAGAATGCAATTAAGCTGATGAACATATTTATTGCTGGCTGACGGGATACGAAGTTAGATACTTTCAGTTTAATTACTGTCAGAGATACATATCAGCGAACAGAAACCAGAACATACTTTTTAATTTGTAACTAGTAGTGCGGATGGTTTTCCTGTTTTTGTTTATTTTGTAGTGCAGTTCAGAAGCATCATTTTGCATACTTTTTACCAGTAACAAAAGAACTTTCTAGACAACAAAAATACATAAGAAATTGGAAAAAAATTCCTCGTTAAGAGAACAGTAGTACTGTCGATCTCTTTGAAACGTCTGTTTTATATCGCTGTTTATGTATACAGATGAAAAGAGAGTATATGATTAAATAGTGTTTCGGCACCCGGATGTTAGAGCATTGTCCTACGAACCTAATATTAGTGGAGTGCGATTACCGGTCCATTTTCTTTTCACAGGTTCGTGTATCAAATTATGCTTCACTCCTAGCTGTATTACAATTCATTTCTAGTTCCGGAAACTAAAGAGAACACGTAAATGCATGCATTCGAGTTACGAATATGTCATTCGAATGTTCTAAAGATTCTTTAGTGCTTCTGAAAACAGTTTTTTCTCGTGAAAATTAGAGAATTACCTGATTTTTCTTCTTCTTATTTTCGCTAATGAGTATAAGTGGGTTCAAATGATCTTGAATGACATTATTCGAAAGAGCATCAATCAGTGAATCTAACTGATACATTTTAAACGATTGAGTTAGAATCAGTTCTTCAGCACCAAGGATAAATGTACTACGATCGGAGTCAACATACAAAAGCAGTTGTTATTTTTTGAATAACTCAGCATCAAATAAAGATAGAGGCTTGCGATTTTCACCATTCGTTAGTCAAGACTTGAGCCGATCTTTCTATAAGCAAAAGTGATTTTGGAAAACTTTTCAAAGCTGGATTTTCAGAAGATCTTTGGAAAGCCAGCTTGGATTTTCCGAAATTCAAATAGGAATCTATTGACTTTTTTTGGGGCATATATAGTCCGAAATGTCCTCTACAAAACCGAATCTTAAGCGACATCTTGAAAACCCATGGTTCGGGAGTTATAGACATTTTTCCTGAAGCCTTTCTCTGCCGTTAGGTTGGGATTGTCAGAAATGCATGAAAATATAGGTTATCGACTATGCTAAATCTCGTGGCAATGTTAGTTCTCATAAAAAAATGCATTAACCGAGTGAAAAACTATACTAGGTGATATAACCCATTTTTGATTATTTTCGAGGAAATTTAATTTTCTAAATTTTATCTTCTAGGCTCAAGTTTGGAAAACATCTCCTTCACAGTGAAAATTCGGGAAAACCACTTTTTTAAAGCTAATTTTCAGTTTCCCACCACGAACAAAGTACTTCTCAAGTTTGAGTTTGGAACAGAATGTGTAGCAAATTTAGTATTCTAAATTTTCTCTGCCAGGCTCAGTTTTGTACAACTAGATCTTCAGGATAAAAAGCACAAAACACCATTTTTTAGTCTAAAGACCAACTTTTAGAGACCCAACACCAGTAGAAATATTTTAAGAAATTAAATTTTTAGCATTTCATGTTCCAGACTCAAGTCTAATAAATGCTTCCATCATGGTGAGAAACGCTTATTATTGTTAATTAGTTATTTTAAATTTAGTGTTATTTCTATCCATAATAACAGGAAGAGAATGAAAAATGTATATCTATTTGTGTAAGCTCGTGTGGTACAATGCCGTAGATAGAAGCATAACTCGTTAGACTTGTGATCATAAGGTTCCCAGGTCTAATCTAATAGAAAGCAAAGAAAAGGGCTTCCGAATCCGTTTCTTGAGACCAAGATTCCGTTTAACTACTAGAAGAACGTATTACTTGAGAACAGAGCCCGAGCTAGCAGGGGAAAGCATTCAGAGAGCTGGAAAGAGCGGAACAATCAAGTTTTTTTTGGATTAGTTAACGGGAACACGTCCTTCTCTACCAAAGAACACTTTCTGGAGATGCTTTTAGCATTCTTTTACAACGCATTTTTGTCGCCTGGAACGATTTTTTTCTGAACGCGTTCCTGGCAGAGAGAAATTCGTTTTCTTCTGCAAAGAAAATGAGTTTCAAAAGAACGCTAAAAGTGTCTCTAGGACGGATTTCATTTTTTCAACAACGCGTTCTAGGCCGTTCTTTTTTATGCCCTTTTTTCATGGGGATACACTGATTCAGTGAACATGAAGAATAAATTAGATCGGAAAGTTGTTGATAAAAGAGCTTTCTATAAGTGTATTACGCTTGTATAAGAAATGCAGCTGTTTCAGACTTCACCTTTGTTCGGAGTAATAAGAATTGACGACAAGGGAAGAAGAACAACAGTAACAACCACTTCAATAAAAGGAAGACGAGGATAAGATTTGAAAAGAAAAACTATCACATTGTTATTTTTCACGCAACATAGAATTATAACTAAGAATACATTTGCTGTTCGAACGATTTCTTGATCTTGATGTCTAACCAAATTATAGATGACAGGAGAGTAAATACTTTAGTAAAAAGAAGCTGAGGGTGTTGAGGATATTTAAAATGACGGATGAAAACCGTGAAACTATCTTAATAACACATTATTCTCAACAAAGATGAAGTTAAAAGCAACTGGGTTTCTTATACAATTATTATGATTCACATCGTGGTTCAATCTACAAATGTCGACTTTTAGAATTGTATGTAAAACGCTTTTTGGGAATTAAACTGCAAATTACTATCTTGCTTTCTATTTTGTTACCTGCAAAACCGCGAAAAAAATATTTTAGAACTGAAACTTTTCTATTGATGACCGTTTGTCATTTTAAGCAAAATGTCGTTGAAGCAGTCTATAAGAGCTATATATAAAGTTGGTCAAAAATATTTGAAGAATTATAATCTCTTTCGATCACATCTACCGACAACCGATGAACATGATCTTCGAAATGAATTAATATCAACACGGTTATTTATTATTGTACTGTTTATATCATTAATTACTATTGTTCTATACACATCAGTACCTAATCGAACAATAATAGTTACAAGAAAATCACCAACGTTCGAACAGTATGAGCATCTCTACCAAAAGTATCAAAAAAGTTTATTATGTTCATGTGCCACCATCGCAGTACCATATGGTACATTTTTTACTGAAATATTTCAGCAGCAACATCAACTATGCTCTAGTCAATTTGTGACGAATGAATGGGTAGCTTATCTCAATAATGAATCGGCAGCTGAAATTTATTATCGTGATTTTCGTCGTACTTCTGGTTATTCATTTCAAATGTTATCTCGGCTGTGCCAGCTAACAAATCAAACACTGAAAGATGAGTTTCTCGCATTTAACTCAACGGCATATATAACACCGTCACTAGTCTCAGTGCAAATATTTGAATCTGAAACACAGCTCTCAATAAAACAATTTCAATTGACAACAACCAATGCATTTCTAACATCGTTAGATATTGTACGCAGTACGACCCGAGGAAATGGCTTAATGTCAGGTCTGTTAACAAATACTGAGCTTAGATCAACTTATGGTGGTGACGATAATTCTTATCGCAATGTAATATCAGCTAGTTTTAATAATGGTAATTGTTCATGTGATTTAACAATAAAATGTGTTGAATCCTCAGCAATATATACATTCTATCCTTCATCCGAATTTAGTGGTAAACCAGCAACGTTGACTACTGAGTTTATTGTACCTGGTTTCTATTTGGGATGTTATTTGTTAGAATCTCTTTTACAATCAACATTAGAATGTTTCTACGATCAAGCATGTCTAGATGAAATACAATCATGGATATTCACTGATTATATAAACATAACACCCCTGGTCTCAACACAGCTAAGTCAGTATCAGCCCAATACAACTATCAAAGAGATTTTAAATAACCTAATGATTGAGCAATGGTATGTAACAACATCTTATCAATTATATTATGGACAATGTAATCCGTCAGAATGCATATATAGCTACTCTGATTCATTTGATATTCTTTATATATTAACGAAAATCATAACATTAATTGGCGGTCTCACAAAACTATCAAGAATTCTAGTGCCACGTGTAGTGAAGCTGTGGAGAAGAAAGAAGATAACAACGATCAATGGTAAAAATAACAATTTGTCTTCGTTCTGAACGAGAGACTTGAGTTACTGTTTGAAGTGTCCAGCTGAGGAAGTCTTTTACCTGAAGAAAAGGGTGTGTTAGCGTACAATTAGCGATTTCGAAAGCTAAACTTACTTGTTGATGATGAAATGCTATTGATAAGCAGATTAGCTTTCAGAGGAAATTCAGGTGCTTTTTATCTAATATGAATCATTTGTAGTTTTGAGGAAGTATTAGAAGAGTCAAATGCTATTTTCTACAATGTTTAGTTCGTTATACCGCGTTAAGGATTATCTCTCCTTTATCCAGAAGATCAAGCCGTCCTAATCATTCCAGAACAGTAGAAACTCCCTTTGCTAAAACAGAAACTGTTCTCTAATCATTTATCTGCCAAACAGCCCGAGACTGGAATTTAACCCTTCTCGAAGCTGTTGTTGCATCACCCACAATAAAGTCGTTTAAAACAAAGCTCGAGAACTATGTTGAACTTTAATCGTTCTAAAATAAGGTGACAACGTTTATAGGTAGAATTTTCTCAGAACTTTTTTTGCCTTCTCAGCGTGCTTTTGTTTTTGTTTATGTAAAGATACATATTTGTGTTCCTTTTTTTTCACTATCAATCACCTACTTGCGGCTACTAAAATATAAATTAATCAACCAATCAACAGACTAGAATCTTCTATGATGCTCTGAAACTTTTGGCTGAGTCGATTGAGTTTGAGAATAAGCTTGAACAACTAACATACGCTGTGTGTTATCACATTTTATCTCAGAGATCAACTCAAATAGAATGTCAATAGAATTTCAGACATCTCATTTTGAGTAGCATGTTGGATAGTTTGTATGAAGTTCAGTCGGATCAAAATCGTTTGACTGAGATGCAATGTCTGTGATTTACACTAATTAAGCTTTATTTCTAGTAATATCAATACGTCAAAGACTGTATAATTTATATAAATCAACGACAGAATATTTGAAAAGCTTTAACATTTTCAAACCGAAACCACCATCAACCGATGAACATGAAGTTAAAAATCAAATTATCTCAACGCGTTTATTCATTGTAATATTTCTCGCATTATTAACTGTACTTGCATTTTATTCATCATTCCATAATCCACCACGTACGGTCGTGGTAAAAACGCCAACTATGAAACAATATGATAATTTATACTCCACATATTCAAATACTTTGGACTGTCCATGCTCAAAAACTTCAATACCATATAAAACATTCCTCCAGATATCACCGACATACCATCAGGTATGCTCAAGTCAATTTGTTTCAGATGAATGGTACAAGTATATAATTGAAAATAGGCCATCCATTATTTCTGCCCATGATTTTCGTTTGATTGGTGTTTCTTCGTTTGAAATGATATCTGAATTTTGTCAGTTCAGTAATCAAACAATTCAAGATCAACTCTTTCTATTCTATTCACGATTCTATTTAAGTTTAGATTTAATATCGAATAAAACATTTCAGCTTCAATCTCTGTCTTTTATCGAACAGTTTCAATCCGAAACGAGAAATACATTTTTAAGATTATTACAATTAACACGAGATACCACCCATGGTTCTCACTTCTATTCATCGATAAATACTAATTATCAGATTACTGTATATACTAATCCTAATGGTTTATATACGATAACCTCCACACAATACTATGGTGGCTCACCAGCATGTGTATGCGATATTAATTCAAAATGTGTACAGTTAACTGGAATTACTGATACTTTTGTAACTTCTCAATCATTGGATTTTGTCATATCTGGTTTTATGACTGGCTGTTATATTATTGAATCATTATTACAATCAACATTAGAATGCTTTTATAATGAAACTTGTTTCAATACTCTTCGCCACTACATGAATGCAACACATTATAATAGAAATTTTACAACATTATACTCATCTTTAAGCAATAGCCAATATAAACCAGAAACAACCATTGAAACGATTGTTAATAATCTAATGATTGAACAATGGAATCCATCCATCTCATTCGGTTCATACTATAATGAATGTCATCCAAGCGAATGCACATACACATATACTGCAAAACTGGATATTGTTTATGTATTAACGACAATTATTGGCCTCATTGTTGGTCTCAGCGTTGTGTTAACTATACTCATACCAAATTTAGTGAATTTGATACGGGAGAAGCGAACACATGCAGCAAAAAACGGTAAGAATAATTATTAATACTTGAAAAGTTCATGCTACTTCGAACTTGTTCTTGTTCTTGTTCTACAGTTTCTTTTGGAAGGTTTATCATCCTCCAAAATGTTTCTTTACTTGATAGAGACTTTCTGATTACGCTGAAACTGTAGCGCATCTATCAGCACTTTTGCTATAAAAGAATATTCAACTACTTAAAGTCCGATGTATCAAAGAAAATAATTAGCTCAGCTGTTGAAACATAGTTCTGGACAACTGCTGATGGAAAAATTAGCAAAGTTGATTGTTGTATGCAGAAAATCCGATGACTGAATAGTAACCATTATCGGTAAAAAAAAGAATGGGCTCGAATGTTTTCTGAATAACGTTTGATAAGAAAGTGATAGAGACTTCCGGTTTTCACTAATTGAAAGTCAAGACCTCTTTTCATCATGAAAGTCATTGTGAAAATCTGTTTCCAAAATAGGTTTTCCAGAGGATGACTTAGCGTAGCCTTAATATCAACATACGTAATCGACCACGCTGAAGCTAATAGTAATGTTTGTTTTGGAAAAAGAACTCGCAAACCTAGTGAAAATCGAGTTTTACAAAAACTGAGGTTTGCAGATTGCTTTCACCTAATATTAAAAAAATGACATTCCACCTAAAAAACATCAGATCAACTCTAAAACTTCAGTATATGATTAATTTTTGCCAGTAAAAATGATCATATCAAATTCAAAACCATATTTTTGTTAAAGGTTTCGTAGAATCATAGGGTTTTCTACTTTTTTATAGATTTC